CATATCTGGTTCCTTGATCTGACAATTCTTCTGGCACTTCCGGCTGCTCCGTCTTGTTTTTCAACCCCTTCTCCCCAACCCAAGTGTGACAGTGATACTGAATGTTTAGCTTCAATGACATCGGCAAACCCAGCTTGGGGTTTGCAATGGAAATTGTTCTTTCTACCCCCACCACAAAAGAAAAAAGGATTTTATTACTAATATTTTTTATGGGTTCCCTGGATGAAATGATTTTTAAGAATCAGATTTTATTCCTTTCCTTATTTTAAAATTATATAGCCTATCGTCTGCACCTGAGATCACTGATCCATTCTTGGATGTTATTTCTCCATTTAAGGAATTAAGAGAGAAGATGCTACTGGTTTCTGACAAAAAAGGAAGGACAGCAGATGGGGGGATCCCCAACTGGTTTTTTGTTTTGTTTTGTTTTGTTTTTGAAAAAGAGAGAGAGAGCCAGAGAGAGCAGTAAGAGAGGAGTAGAGGGAGAGGGACAGAGAATCTTAAGCAGACTCCACACCCAGGGCAGAGCCCAATGTGGGGCTTGATCTCACCACCCTGAGATCACAACCTGAGCTGAAATCAAGAGTTGGATCCTTAACCAACTCAGCCACCCAGGCGCCCTGAGAGTCGCTGGCTTTTTTTTTTTTTTTTAAAGATTTTATTTATTTATTTATTTGAGAGAGAGAGAGAGAGAGTCATAGAGTGTGGGAGAGAGAAGACTGAGTGGCAGTGGGGGGTGGGAGGGCAGAGGGAGAAGAAGCAGCAGACTCCCCGCTGAGCAGGGAGCCCGATGCAGGGATAGATCCCAGGACCCTGGGAACATGACCTGAGCCGAAGGCAGATGCTTAACCGACGGAACCACCGAGATGCCCTGAGAGTTCCCTACTTTTAAACACAGCTTCTCAAAACTCTGAACTATTTGCTACCAAAAGGGAAGTGGACAGATTTGGGCAACGTGATCATAGGACTTTTCTTCAACCATTGACAACCTAACTATTGTTACTGATCAAGTAACATAATTTTAAAACCGGCTCCACATTTTCTTTCTATTATTTTATCTTTGTCTACATCATAGCCCAGACTCATGAAAATATTATAGGCTTTGGAATCAGACAAGCCGTAGCTCAAATTCTGATTTATGAGTCACGTTGTCTGGATAATTTAACCTTTCCCAACGGACATAATGAAACTACCCCACAGGTTAATCATGGGAGACGAAGTGAGATGATATTTATCCTTTTGTCATCAGCACTGTTGGGGTGCACCGTTATACACATACAAAAACGCACAGACCAGTCACACAGGCACCCTCCCGTAGGCCCAGATGCGCCTGCGGGGAGCTAACAAGGACAGCTCCCATGGGCATTTGCTACTACCCGCCCCCTACTGGTCTACGCTCGCTACTACACGCCCCCCTGGTCTATGCTCGCTACTATACGCCCCCTACTGGTCTACGCTCGCTACTACCCGCCCCCTACTGGTCTACGCTCGCTACTACACGCCCCCTTACTGGTCTACGCTCGCTACTACACGCCCCCTACTGGTCTACGCTCGTTGCCTCCCGCAGCTCACTGAAATACAACAAAACTCCGAGATGGAGACATTTAGTATTTTAACTTACAGGTGACAGACATGGAGAAAAGTCTTCACAGGTGTAAAGAAGAGATATCTAAGGGTCGCATCTGGGATCGCACTGGGTTGCTACAGCCTTGGCTCAGTGGAGTGAGGGAAGTATGCAGGGCTCACTAACCCTTCTTGCGTCTTCCTTATTTCTAACTAAGGGGCTTTCCAGAGGCAAAAATGTAAAATAAGGCAAAACCTCCATTAGGTTGCTTCAGTATCCAATGCCCTCCCCATCCCCATCATTATCATTATCTGTACGCCAATAATAAGAAAAGTTAGATTTACCAGTCCTTTGTTCATCCCTTTCCACCCTATAAAACCCGAGGAGGAAAATAGTAGTGCAGTGCACGTTGATGTTGACATTTTCCTTAATATTTGCTTTTCTAATTACAAGAGGATCAAAATTATAACCGATGCTTCGCTCAATTTACCTAGTGTAGACTTAGTACTCATACACCTGTCACACCTCGGCAGCCGAGCACTTAAAGGCTTTCATTTTCTCAACGCCTCAGACAGGCACAGTACGATCTATAGCTTCCTTCCACACCTCCTTCTGTACAGAAGACGCACTTCTCCTTATGGCCTAATTTAGCTGAATTCTACCCCAGAATTATGATCTTTCTCTGCATCATCTTCCCTAATGACAGGTAAACAGGAAATAATAAGATGATCAAGAAAAGGAGAGGCATCAGTTTGGAAAAGTGGAGTCTCACTGGGCAGGAGCGGACTTTCAATGCCTCCCCTGTGGGGCACCTCTGTCTAGGCTTCTCTTGGCATTCAGGTCCACCTGGTTGCCTTTCACGTTTCTAACATAAAAATGGGCTCCACCGTATTTTTCTCTGCGGTGTGATTATTCCACAAATATTCTAAATGTACTTGAAGTCTGGCAAAAGTCTATTTTATGAAACCAGCAGGTGTATGGGCCTTTAAAAATTCTACTTCAGGATTTCTCTTTTCAATGGCCATTAAAAATCTAGTAGATAGCTCATCATATAAAACAGCCCTGCGTAAACTTTCAAAAAAATAAGCTACTCTGTTTATGACGATTAGAAATCTCAAATGAGGCATATCAGAGGATATCTAATTTATATTCCTCCTAATGCATTTCCTGTAACGTACATTGTTTTATCCTATGCCAGGGTAACAGATTCTATTTTGTCTTTCCCCCTCTCAGGCCATGCCATCATCACTCCCGCTTTAGCACATAATGGGTTCCCTTGTCTGGACCCTAAACTCAACCTCCATAAACCTGAGTAAATATGAAAGTTGCCTCAGAAGCCTATTCAAGATACAGACACATACGAGCATCAAAGGGATGTTAAAAACACCTGGCCTTAAAACTGTATAACTGTATACATTTATTGCTGAAATTTCATAATCAGCTTCTGTTTAAAAACCTGAATTTGTGAACCAGGAGTGTTTTGTTTATCCATGAAGGATAGAAAGCTGGTTTTGAGTATTGGGGAAATTGTAAATCCATTTTATAAGTTAATTATGTAGAACTGTATGGAACTGTCCATGGTATAAAAAACACGGAAAAAATATGAGGATCATGCAGGATATTGCCATGCATTTTCCTTTTCTGTGAGGTGTCCTAGCTTTTCTCAAGGGAAAGGAAACTCGATGCCTATGAAATCCGTATTTTTAAACCTTGAAGCCGTTGTGGTATCCTCAGAAGACATCGTGTTTCTTCTTTTCTTAAAACCTAATGCTTATATTTAACTAGGGGTTCCCTTGCTTTTCCAAAGAAGATTCTAGTTATCTGTTTGTCATTCTCATTTAGTTGTAAGAGTTTAGGGCCAAAGTAACATGACCACTTCAGGCCAAGAAAGCTAACACAGCAAATCAGGGGTTCATAGAGGAAGGGTGTTGGTCATTGCTCAGATCAGTGCAGGACAGCCCCAGCCTGAAGACAGGACGGTGCTGGCAAATTCAGGCCAATCGCTCTACTTCCTGGAAATGACTGGGTCTAACAGTGACAAATTCATCATAGTGTCTCTCTGGTTTAGGAGCAGACATTCGGCTACCTCCACCATAAATTATACAACAATAAATTATAAGGAAGTTGACGATAATTTATAAGAACTTATTTTGTACTAGGCAAATCCCTCCTCCATACCGCACAGTGAATGTTCACCCTCTGAAGGGACGCACTGAAATATTTTGCCCTGGCTGCAGCTTATACATAATGGAACGAGAGAGCATGTTTCTCTAAAGGAGAGACACCTTAATGAAAACATCCTTTGGGATAAGAAGATTAAGCTACAGTGTTCCTTTCCAAGTCTTCTTATGTATAGATCATACTATAAAAAGGAGCAGCCTACAGTTCACTACTATTTGCCCTAAAAGCACTTTCTATCCTTTATATGTAAAAAAATACATATATCTATATACCCCAACATTGTGTAATCCACGTGAAATTATGTAAAGTTACAGAGTTATTCATTAGGTAGATATGAGGCTGAATTACTCAAGAGATTGCTCTGATTCTAGTAAGAAATTCCTTAGGAGTTCACCAAATCAGACTCAAAAAGTGGTAACGGATACCCATTTTCAAATCTATTATACTCCTTAGCTTGGAAAATTAAAGTGCTTCCACTAAAAACCACTGGTCATTTGGTAACAGCTAGAATATTTACAAGTGTTCCTTCAGAATTAGAGGGACCTTCTTTATCTGACAACGCAGTGCAAAACACTGATTAATCATCATTTAACTGATAATGCAATGCATATTTTAACATAACTTACTTCTTATTAACTGTCAAATGAAAATTCTTAGTTTATATTGGAAACCTATTCTCTAAGAAAGACTAATTATGTTGTGAAAAGTTGCCTAGAACTCAGCAATTTAATTCTGTAATAATAATGAACTAGCAGAGAACTAGTAGAGCACTAGCTCTACAGCCTTTTGCCTTACTGAGCAATATTATGATTCAGTTACCTATGGTATGTCAATACGATCAGCTAACCCATAATGGAAATTTACTCATGAAACAGAAATACCTGTATTCTGGGTAAGACTTCTAAACTACAGAGATTTCCATCCTTTACTACCAAGTTTAATTTAAGAAAGAAAGAAAACTGCATCCTTGCAATTTAAGGTAATTTATGATTAAAAAATATTTGTGGATGTTGTTGGAGTAGAGGGGGGTGGGAGGGATGGGGTGGGTGGGTGATGGACACTGGGGAGGACATGTTGTGGTGAGCGCTGTGTATTGTAAGACTGACGAATCGCAGACCTGTACCCCTGAAACAAATAATACATTATGTGTCAATAGTAATAATACATACACACACACACACACACACACACACACACACACACACACATGAGTAACTTAACCCCTTTACCTTATAATATGCTTATATATCCTTACCTTATAAATATCCAAAAATCCACACTGGTGGTCAAACCTGGTGTACAGTTCATTCAGCATGCTGATCACCTGCATGGGGGTACACTGGGCACAGATGGCCGTGAAGCCAACAATGTCCGAGAAGAGCATGGTGACATCGTCAAACTTCCTGGCCTGCACCTGCTGTCCTTGCCACAAGAGCTGGGCGACGTCACCAGGGAAAATAGAATATAGAAGGTCGACTGTTTTCTTTTTTTCTTCTTCCAGGGCCTGGTGAGTTCTTTCCAAAGTTGCCTTTAATTTATCCATCCTCTTCTTCAAGCCATCCTGTGCCTTTGCCTGCTCGCCAACCAGAATGACGTCTCGGGTGGCGTCATGGATCGGGATGTCTGAGAGATGCAGCCCCCGGCCCATGAGCTCGTCCAGCTTGTCCACGCACGGTGAGCCCAAGAATAAGATGGAGTTGGATTCCGGGACGTGGATCATCTGTCCTTTGACCTCCATCACCTGCAGAATGAACACGAAATTTTAATCTGTGCTCTTCACGCAGTAGGTTCACAACAAAGTTGACTTACTATCTGACAAAGAGGAGGAACGAGAAATGTACCATGAGCTATGCTGCATTTCTACAGTTGTAGGAGCAAATTTCAATGTGGTTTACAGCCTGTGTGAAATCCACAGTTCTGAATGGACATCTTTGTTACTGTGCCCCACTTCGCCACTTTTTAAGGACAACGATGAAACAAAGAGTGAGATCAACTAGAAATGAACCTGGGAAACATTTTTATTCAAAATGAAATTACACTCAGGCACATCACGAAATGGGCTCATGAGTCAGTTTAACACCTTTCAACTTGCTTAATAATAAAATCAGGACAAATCCATCTGTCACAAAAACTATATTCAATTGTCATTAAAATAACACTCAGGAAAAAAGTCCAGGAGAGTAAAATAAATCAAAATAATTATTTGGCCTTATGTAAGTCATTTTTCAAACAGTCTGTAGACCTCTGAATATGTAATACTTCTTGAACAGACACGGGGACAATTCACTTGCTCTTAAAAATAAAAATTAAAACTAGATGTGATGAAGTCAGTATGATTAGGAAGTAACTATCAGTCAGCTGGCACGTTCACTATAAGCTGAAAATAAACCCCCCATATCAGCAGAGCACTGAAGGAGTTCAGTTAAGAAGATAAAGAGGGGCGCATGGGGGGCTCAGTTGTTAAGCGTCTGCCTTCAGGTCAGGTGATGATCCTGGGGTCTTAGAATCGAGCCTGCATCAGGCTCCCTGCTCAGTGGGAAGTCTGCTTTTTCCTCTCCCTCTCCCCCTCCCCTGGCTTGTGTTCCCTTTCTCACTGTGTCCCTGTCAAATAAATAAATAAAATCTTAAAAAAAAAAAAGAAAAGAAGAAGATAAAGAATCTAAAGAAGTAATACTTTAAATTGGTCCCCCCCTTTTCATGCTCTTTGACTGGAGAACTTGGGAGGCTGAGGTTTTGTGTTTTCCATTAGGGAACAGATTGATTCTTTCTCAGCTCAGTGCCCCCCCCAGGCCCTCCGAGGCAAGGAGCAGCCACAGGAAAGGAAATGCACTTAGGATGTGGCTACACAAATATTGTGATCTGGGTCAGAGTAAGGTGTCTCAGCACACTTGGAGAGGACAGTGGTGGAATGATCTAGAAAGGACAGCCTAGTAGTTGACCAGCTAAGACTGCCCATCATTTAACTTAAGTCTTCCACTGCCACATGGAATGCGCTCAATAAATATATTTTCCTTTTTTTTTTTTTCAAAATATTTTTTAAAGATCTTAGTTATTTATTTGTCAGAGAAAGAGAGAGAGCACGAGCTCACAAGCAGAGGGAGAATCAGGCTCCCCACAGAGCAGGGAGCCCGATGCTGGACACTATTCCAGGACCCTGGGATCATGACCTGAGCTGAAGGCAGACGCTTAACTCACTGAGCCACCCAAGCGTCCCATTTTCCTTTATTCTTCCTAAGCATGAAGTAGTCAGGCTGGTTGATGAAACAAGAGCCATAGAAGAAACACACAGTAAAACCACACACATTTGGATTCTGAGGACTACATCTAGGTCGTATTTTGTCTCCCCCCCACCCTGTACCATTCACCAGAATCCAATACAGGCAAGGAAATAAAATTGAGTCCTTGCTTGATGCTATAATTTTTAGAAAATGAAATGTTCACTTTATCTCATGTGAAGTTTCTGCTAGTACTTCCTCCTCTGGTACATAATACTCTCATTTGTTCGTTGAGGTATTTATTGCTTTCACTTCACTCGCACTGTTCTGGGTGATAAGCATAAAAAGATAAAAGAAGAGCCCCCTTCTCAGAGATACCACAGGATGGGGGGGGGCAGAGAATCGTGTGTGGAGACACTTCCAGGCCTCCCCGCCCATACCCACCACGCAAGGTGGGCCCCATGCCTACAGGCTGGGTCTGACTACAGACAAATAATTCTTATGAGATGAATTTCCAGGTTGTTTCCAATGTGCCTGGTATGCTTTCTGGGGGAAGGGTGTTGTTAATGACACACACTTTCCCACCGTTGGGATGGTGAAGGTGTCATAAGAAGATACACAAAATGTTCAACATGGTAGCTCATAACTGGGCATATTCAATTAATTCTTCAGACTTAAGGTAAAAACAAACGTCCGATGATCAGGGATTTAGACTTGTGTGTGGTCTCTCTTTGTCCCCTCCCATTTCTAGCTGTTGTTCTTCCTCTCCATAGAGCTTTCTTCTCCCTTCTCCCTTCTGTTCTGTGGACTTACACTTCCTTCCAGGATCCTCTCTCCACTAGGTCTTCGTCTGTCCTGCTGCCTGTCTCCCTCTCCCCAGGGCACTCTCCCCAATTCTGTCCTCATGGCATCTTTCTCTTTGCTTCCCCTTCTGAGGCATCACCCTCCACGTGTCCCATCAGAAATGGACCCTCTTCTTTTTGTCCATCTCTCTTTTTATGTCAACCGAGGAATCAGCCTATGTGCATACACACTCATAACATTACATATTATTTGCTGCATGTAAATAAATAGTGTTTTCATTTAACTCACAAAGAAGCTGAGTCAAACATCTCATATTCCTAGCTCAAAAATATAAAACATAAATAGGTTCTATCAAATAGGTTGATCTATATGTGGCCATTAGTTGTTGTTTTTCTTTCTTTCCTTTTTTTAAAAAATCTCTGAATCAGCAGAGTCTGAGAGGAAAAAGTAACTGCTTACCTCCTGCCCCACAGAATACCAACTCATAAAAGAAGCCCTAAAGTACACTGTGAATAACTGCCCTGTTTTATGTTTTTCACCGGAAACATTTTCCCTTCCTTAATAAATGGGCAAACACAACTGGAGTTTTTGGAGCATTTCTCTACCATAAATGCATTTTTACTCTAATTGGTAATAACATGAATTATTCCTCTTGATTTGCTTTTGTTCCATTACAATGATAAACTCAGGAATTCACCATGACCCTCATTTGTTCATTTAGCAATGTGCAAAACTATACAGTCTTATGTAGAAGAAGATTTGTGGCAAATTGCATAACTGGAAACATCCAAGTTTTTTTTTTAAAAGATTTTATTTATTTATTTATTTGACAGAGAGAGATCACAAGTAGGCAGAGAGGCAGGCAGAGAGAGAGAGAGGGAGAAGCAGGCTCCCTGCTGAGCAGAGAGCCCGATGCGGGACTCGATTCCAGGACCCTGAGATCATGACCTGAGCCGAAGGCAGAGGCTTAACCCACTGAGCCACCCAGGCGCCCCAGAAATTGGTAAGCATCATAAAAAGGAGTATTTGACAGGGCAAAAGGGTTCAAAGTCATCCTTGGTCAGGTTCTATTAGACTAGCTGGGTTATTTTTATTTCTATACATAGATAGCTTTATAAAAATACTTTCCACTGTCATCTATAATTAACTGAAAATGGAGTATGTCCGGCTCATATAACTGTACCTTCTTATATTTTTGCATAACCTGAACATGGACTAACCCAGGCTCCCACAAGACTCAGGCCTTGCAAGACCATCCCTGGCAGCTTACGCGCAACGGTCAGGAATGAGGTCGAATTCCAGCTCTCCTGACACGTACGTGGGCAGAGTGACCCGGGTGCAGTTACCTCTACTTCCAAGCTTTGGTTTTTCTCTAAAATGTAGATGAAATGACAATGATGTAGACGAGGAGGCACCCTGAGCTAACCCATCTCACCCGCTGGGTGCCTGCCACCAGCGACGCAGTGTGCTGAGTATGTCACACACATGTGGTTATTAAAGTTTACTTTATCCTATTACCGTCCTCGTTGTTTAGACGAGATTTAGGGAAGTAAGGGACCTGCTCTGAATGCATAGGCTTATAAACAGCAGGGTCAGTATTTAAACCCAAGCTGGACGGGCCCCCGGGGGCATGCTCTCGGCCACTGGCGCAGCAGGATGGGTAAGGGTGTCAGGTGGGGGTCTAGGGACAACAAGAATTCTACACGCACACCAACGTGAGGGCAAAATTACATTAAGATACCCACAACAGGAGAAAAGACAGAAGCTGCTGGAGAAAAGACAGGAGAAAAGACAGAAGCTGCTCTGGACACAGATTTCAGCAGCAACGTACACGAGCACAACGCAAGATCACTTCTAGATGTGATTTCAGGTATTTCTGATCTGTGAGACAGGACTCACAAAAGCACAGGCAGAATGATACGTCCCTGGCGTCCTGGTGGGCTTTGGTTCTCAGAGAGTCACATTCCCTTTGAAGAACTGGATCCAGGAGATGGAAGAAAGGAAGGAAGGAGGGAGGGAAGGAAGGGAACTAGCAGACGCAGGGGCAGCCTGAGAAACTTGCATGTCCTCATGGTCTTGAGATTCTCCAGCTCTCAAGGCCCCTCCAGAGGGACCACATGGCTGGAACCACCAGGAATAAGGATCTTGCCACCAGCGCCCTGCAGGAAGTACTTGTTTCCCACATGCAGGGAGAAAACCTCCTCTTTTGCACAAAGGTACCAGGGCACCTCGCCTCTGGGAGCTCGTTCTTCCCCCTCAAGCAGCATTAACAAGAGCCAGCGGGAGCCCCAGACGCATTAAATAAATGCCACAGATGGGAAGAGCTCCATGCGAGCTCTGCAAATTACCCTGTCCTTGCAGTCACTGCCCAAGAAGTAGGCCAGGACCCGCCTGCCAAACACAAACAGAGCGACCGCTTGTGAAAATAAAAAATTCTAACAGGCTCTGCTGTCTTCTCACCTAACAGCCAAACCATCTAGGCCACAGTAGGAAGCCACACATCATAATGCAAACCAGGAAAAATCACATCTTGAATGAGAAAAGGCCACCAATCAATGCCACCGCTGAAATGGATCAGATATTGGAATTATCTGTCAAGAATTTTAAAGACCCCTTCGTAAAAATGCTTCAATGAGCAACACAAATTCTCTGGAGGATTACAAGAAATGAGACAATCTTAGTAAAGCAATCAAAGATACAATAATAACCAAATGTTCATCAC